TCTATTCTTAGGTTTGTGAAGATTAAATGAGATCTGACTTATGATGCTCCTGCCAGCAATTCATCTTTATTACCCCAACCATAGAAAACAGGATAGATAGCCTTGCCTGTAACTGGGGTCAGAGGTCACAGACCACTGAGTGCTGAAGACTGGTGATAGCAGAGGTGTTGAGGCAATGTGAGGCTAGGGTAGTGAGTGGTTAGACAGTCTGCCAAGATAACCACACAGGCTTCTTGGGAAGGCCACAAGTGGGACTCATGTGACACCACCTCTGGGGTCATGTCTGTGGCCAGAGGGTGGCCACTTGGGGATTGGGAGTCAGGAACTATTCTTAGGGTTTAAGTGGCCAGAAAGAAAACATGATCTTTAAGATGGATATAGACTGGGCATAATAAGAAGCCCAATGGAAATCAAAAAGAAACACAGAAGTTTGCTGCATGCATGCTCAGAAAGCAAAAGCATCAAGATCCTTCTTTCATTAGGGCAGCAACCAACTATAGTCAGATATGGAGACATCACGGAGGAGACATCCTGCAGCCCACCTGAGGATGGGGACCAAGAAGATATGTGGGTTGGGACAGAAGAATGGAAGACAACGTGGTAGACTCAGAGCTGGATTCTAGAATCCAAAGCTAGAGAAATATCAGTGCCCAAAGGGGAGAAGAAGGCAGTTAAATAAGTCCTCATGCACTTAAGTTAATAGTCAAGATCAACATTTCTGTGCTTAAGTGACACATCCCACCACTGCCACTGAGGTTGGACCTTAGTGTTGCAGTGAACCTGCAACCAGGCAGTGGGTACCCTCAGGCTTCCATGCCCCTGATCATCTTTAAGTCATCATCATCATCATATCATCATCAATGACATCTTCACTTCATTTTTGATCATCATCGTAAATTTTACAATTTCATAAGCTCACCAGGCAGTCTCCAATTTACTCATGACTTAAAAAAAAGCAAACCTGCTCCAGCAAACTGATATTTTAATAAGCAACTAAATTCTCCACTGTAATGGGTGCTACTCATGTCCCGCCCATGCCTGGGCCAGCAAACCTACCCCCTAGCTGCTGTGAGTCGTGGCAGCTAGTGTTTCACAGCTATCCCCTTCTCTAGAGAACTGCCTTTGGTGGAATTTCTATTCCTCCTAAAGAGGTTGTGAGGGAAATAAAAGGGGCCCTGTTGCAACCTCGGTAGAGGAGCTTCTAGGACAGCATCTATGGACAGTCTCTGCCAGAGGACAGGCCAGCGTCTCACAAGGAAATAAAAGGGAATTTCTTGGTAAGGGTGAAGGTGAATCAATCTGTCGGTGGGCCCAGTGCAGAGGAGACAAGCACCTTCTGGAAGAGGGAGGCAGCTGAGGTCACGAGTATGAAATGCCCGGGAGCCACACATTAGAGTTACCAGCTGCTTGCCTCAGGTCTTCGGATCCTATAGCCACGCGGACCGTGTCTGTGGAAGGACAGCTGCTGGCATCCAGAATCTGAGAAGTCTGTTGGCAAAGACTAACCTCTCACCTAGGTAACAGACAGTAGAAGTCACTGACTGCCTTGGTTATTTGGTGGAGCAGGGTCTAGAGTCCATACGATATCAGGAAGCAGGGGCAAGTCACGTACAAAGCCTTTTAGGTCCCTGAAGTGAAAGGACCTGACTACTCTCCTTGATCAGAGAGAGGAGATCAAAGGGAAAGACATTTATTAAGCACAGACCATATCTACCCCACAGGGTAACTCTGTGATAAACAGTCTCTCTCTTTTTTTTCCCCCCACAGGAGCAATTTAAAGCTTAGGAAAATCAAGAAAATTGTCATTTTCCCCTGTCTTCTGAGTCTTTCCATTGTCATTTAAATAAGAAAAATAACCAAGGCAAGCAAACAAAATAAAGCAAAATGAACCCCCACAGACACTCTGATCCTTGATCCCCGTCCAGTTCTACTCTGTCTCTTCCTTATTCCCTTCATGAATAGTGGAATTTCGAGAACGGGTCATCTGCCCTTGACTCTCTTCTCCTTCCAAGACCATCATGCCTGTACTCACTGCACCATGGCCCAGCTGCTGGCCACTTTCCATGTAGTCAGTGAAAACATATAGGGGCCAGGACCTCCTTATGCTGAGGATTAGTGCATACTTCACCCAGTGTTCATTTACTTGATTCCTGTAGCCTCTGAACTCAACAGGCACTTCTTCCACCTAGAAAAACACACTTCAAATTTTACCTTCTGTGACATCTTGTTTCCCAGCTTTCCCTTCTAACTGCATCATCTACTGTGTTTTTGTCTCCTTTGAAGCACCTGGTCTACTAGAGTTTCCTTTAGGGTGGCTCCTAACAGGCACCTTGGACCCTACCAAAGGAGGGATGCGCAATGAGGCATGAATGAGTGGCCAATCTGCCAGTACAAGGAGGAGCTGTTATCCAAATCCACTTGGATCCAACCCCCAAACTCTTGTCTGACCCATTCTCCCTAGACGATGTTTCTCCAGTTGGAAGCAATTTCTTGATCAATTTGACGATCATTAGAAAAACAATTGGGCAAAAATGGAATGAACTACCTGGTGAAGCTATTCTGTAACACACAGATATCTCCTAAGGACACAGATACTCACAATGTCGAATCTACAGAGTAATGAAAACTGTAGCAGTCTGTATACCCAGCCAAGTACAGAAACCAGAATTCCTGCCTAGCAGCTGCCTTGCAGTGAGAAAATAAACACCATTTCAGACACACAAAACCTGCATTTAGTTCTCATTCTACTGGGGCCAGTAAACAGTCCATTTGGCTGGTGGGTGTGGCTCCTGGGCTGGTGCAGCTTCAGCCTTCACCACAAATAAAGCCAGCTTATTAACCATCTCAGGGCGGGCACAGGTCTGCTTTGGAATGACACATTCAACAAATAGGAAACTTGGGCTTAGGTCTGATTTTCTCGGACAGGTAAAAGGATCAGAATTGGCAAACAACTCCTGCCTGCCACATAGCAGCAGCGGGAAGGAAGATCAGAGTGCTAGAAGATTGCAGAGATTGCTTCTTGTACTTGTCAGTCTATAACTTTTTGTTATTGGTATGCAACAAAACAAGTAAATATAGTGAGAGGAAGCTTTTAGAAGGTTTTGCAACAATTTCACAAAGTGATTTTAGGTCTCTTAATTCAACCAAAAAATTGTGTTTATAGATGCAATATCTTTGTTTGCTTTGGTATTGCTTATTCATCTTCATTGCATTTTACTAACAAATCAGTCCACCAATGACTAGAAAAGATAATTTTAATGGTCCACAAAGAGTTTGAGAAATAGTGAAATAGGCAACAACAACAACAATAATAATAAAACCTATTCATTAAAAGACACTCCAAGGGGAAAAAGAAAGCCACAGGATGGACGAAAACATTTGCAGCACATTAACTAAGGAAATTTTCTGTAAAAAAAAAGAAATCCTACATTATGTAAATAATATAATCAAATCTATTTTATGGAGGAAATGCTACTGCCCAATTAACATGCGGCAAATAATCAACCTCACAATCACCGCGGAAGTGAGTATTACAACTAGACATCACCGCAGACTAATTGCCAGATTAACAAAAATGTAAAAGTCTCCCAATCCTGAAGGTTGGTGCGGATGCTGAGTGAGAGCTCTCAGACACAGCTGGTGTGTGAACGGGTCCAAATCCTCCAGACGACTCTCCAGCAGCAACCACTAATGCTGCATACACACCCACCCGGTGGGCGGCAATGCCACTCCCAGGAACCAACAGAAAGTTGCTCCACATGGACCAGATGGCATGTGCGTGAACAAACGTGGTAGCACTGTTGGTGACAGTCACAAAATCAAAACAGCCAACTCTTCGCCAGCGCATGGGAGAAGTAAATGGTGGTGCATCCCCACCATGGATGGTCAACGATGGAGAACATAAAACACAGTGCAGGCAACCACAGGGATGAACCTCACAGACAAGACAGTGCCCTAGCTTCACCATGACCCTCGCCCCCATTGGATTCGTAGAAGCTTTCAGGGACAAAAAAAAAAAAAAAATTCAGTAACTCTGATGTTGGAGTTGTCCCTCTCTAAAAAGAGAATCTCAGCTTGGTAGCTTGTTGTTATGGGGGGCCCAAGAAGGAGGTCCCTGGAGCAGTCTTGGGATGAGAGGACCCTGTGAGGTCAGGGCACCATTCAGGACCATGTAGGGCTTATCCCTGGTCAGCTGGGGAGGCCAGGCCTGGCTGTGGCAGGAGATAGTGATGTCTGTGGCACAAAACTCCCCACAGAGGCAGGCTGCAGAATGTGGGACCCCTAGATGTGCTTTGATGACGGAATGGAAACAACTGGGGAGACCACATCAGGTTTAGAGGACTCCATACCCAGTATGAGTCCTTTTTGTTTCAACTAAATATTCAGCCCACAGGACTGCCACAGGCGACGGGCCAGGGGATAGAGATGCCTCACCCTCCAACCCCAGCCCTTGTGGTTTGCTCAGGGGTGAGGGGTGAGGGGACTGGACTGGCATGTTGGGTACAGAGCCACACATGGATTCTCCTGCCCCACACGCTCTTGTCACAAACCATAGCACAGCTCTCAGGGTCCCCACAAAGGTGGTGGTGCCCCATTGCAAGCATCATTTCCCTCAGGGAAGCACAAGGTTGGACTTCCTCTCCTGCATTCACAGCGGCCCTCCCGGCCCAAGTTACAAACCAGGGTTCAGTTTTACCCTAAGCATTGTTGCTTGGTTCCGCCACTGACATTCCATCTTCACAGGATTCCAGGAATATAAGCTAGACAAGGTCAACTCTAACCTCAAAGAAGAGAGGGTTTGTTAAACTTTTACTCCCAGCATGGAAGATGGAAGAGCCCAGTGCGTTTGAAATGCTGCCTGAAACCCAGGCAGTGGTGTCCTCAGCTGCAGAACAAGGGCCCTTTGTGGAGAAGGGCCCACCACATGCCGCCATGGGGAAGGGAGCCTCTGCTCCCAAAACATGGTGCATGGAGGTGGCGCAGCCCCAGGGGTGGCTTACCTTTCCCGCAGGCCTGCACCAGGCCGTACCACTCCCCACAGCTGTTACACAGCAAGGTGAAGGCAGTTTCACGGTGGCCCGTGACATGGCCGGGGGCACACATGTATAGCAGCTCGTCGCCCATCTCCAAACCCGTGCGTCCCTGCAGGATGGTGTGTGGGAATGAAGGCGGGTCTCCACACGGCTTCTCTGAGGAGAAGGAATCACAATCAGCTTTCCAAAGCTAGGCAGAACTTCTATCTTTAAAGATTTATTTATTTATGCATAAAAAACTGAGGTGCAGGCCAGAGGTGTGGGGAGTGAGAGGATTCACCAGAGACAGAGTGGGGAACAGAACAGGGAGACTGACTGAAATACACTGCTGAGGGGAGCAGCGGGCGAGTCCGGAGAGTTCTGGTGCGCCATGTAGGTTAGCTCCCTGGCCGGGGATGGATCTAGTGCTACAGTGGCTGCAGAGAGCTTCATAGTGCTGAGATTTAACCCCTTGAGCCTCCAGGGAGGTCCAAAGGCAGAACCTTTTAAGCCTGGGAGAAAATAAAGTTAAACATCTCTCCCCCTCCATGGGCACTGCCTGCCACCCTGATGGGGGTTACAGGGGCTGTTGCTCCTTCACCTTGACATCCTCCAGCCTGACTGCATGCCTGGCACAGGTGAGGCCCTTAAAAAATACTTGAGTGAAAAAACAAGCTACAACTTAGCACAAAGTACTACAATTTTGTATTTTAAAATCTCCAAGCAATATTACTCTCTAATGTCTCCTTGAAAGCCTAACAGTAGGCTCCTTCTATGCCTTAGTTACATGTGAATAGGTACTCTTTGTCAAAAGTTAAAATGTTTCAGACCAAGAAGACAGGGAGGTGCCTCTCCCCGCCTCCCCCAACTTCAATCTTGACATAATAACTGTTAAAAGTTTGGAATATACAAATAAACACAGCTATAGATATAGACTCACATACATCCACAGAGAAGTGTATGGTGTCTGCACAGAGGGAGGTAAAAACACAGAAAGAAAGACTTTGCTATGTATGTTTTAACATATGTATATTTTGGTTAGTATCTTATTTTGTTAGGATAACCTAGTAGTGGAATTGCTGTATCGAAGTGATTCAGTGATGCTTTTTTCCCAAAAAATGAAAAAAAAATTTAAATCAAAGTTCCTTTTCTATTTTTTATGTCGGAAAGGAAACTCTCTAGTCCTTATGCAGTAAAATTACCTAAGAAGCACAGGAAAGCAATTTATAAGGTATGCTGAGACAAGATGACAACAGAAACTACCACTTGCACTTGAAGTCACCCTGGCTGGCTGAGCAGCTTGGAGTTTTAGTAGCATTTTCTCCAAAAGAGTCATTGCTATCTGTGTTGTTTAACATGAGGGGTTTTGAATGAAAAAAGCCAAGGCTGTGCTTCAGAGTCAACACAAAATGCTGCATTTTAGTCAAACCACCTTGATAGTGTGGTCCAGGAGATCAAGGACTTATTTCACCTACACAGTGAGGAGGAACAGGTAGCCATTGGAAAGTTGCCACAAATCCAGGGGTACCACTGAGCAGAGAGGCATTGCTTGGTCTGAGAAGAATGGACCAAAGTAAAGTCAGGTTGGACTGAATTCCAACTGGTATCTCAGGGGCAAAAGTCCCCATCATTCTCTGCCATTCTCAGCTGCCTGCGACTGACCAACTTTTTTCCTCTAACTGGGATCTAGTGCCCAGAAACTAGGGGCTTTTCATCAAACACATTTACTATCAAAGGACCAAAAAGTACTTTCTATTTCACACAGCTCTATTGTGGAACCCAACACCAACTCCTTGGAGCAGCAAGGCGGCTGCTCTGAGAATAGATAAATGGGAACTTTAGGCTAAATTCATACCCTACGTGACTCATTGAGGTCTTCTCCCACAGAGCCAATTTCTAGAATGGCATGAGCTAGAATCTGGCTTTGGAAAACCTATGAGATGCTCCTGAGAGACTGGGTACACACACTGTATGTTTCTGGATTTCCCACAAATATTCAAGACAGGAAACACACTTGCTTCTTAGCTGGTATGATTTCAGAAGCTACAGGACCACAGTTTCATGTATTAGCACAGCCAAGGGTGTGCCAAAAACACCACTCGTATCCACATGCAACACGAATTAGCTCCTTTTGCTAAACTTCCCATCGTGACCCTCACCATAGGGAGCTATGGGAAACAGCTGGCTCTATACCTAACCAATCTTCTCTTCTCTAGGGAAACTTCTATGTGGGCAGCTTTCACTGTTATTTCTCAGCAATTCTGCATGTAGGAATTGTGGTTTGTGAACTTCTCAGACCTTAGAGCTGAATTTCAACAGTTTCAAAATAAAGACCAAATTCTATTATCTTCCCTTCCAAGGAAGGTTTGTATAAAAGTTTGTCTATTAAATAAATAAAATTAATAAACCATAACCTGTTTTCCCATTTAAAATGACACGTTTTCTTGCCAATCAGAACTTGTGATAGTATTTCCAGTTTAGAACTCCTGTGAAAGTTGATGCTTTTCTCTTGAGAAGTTGCAAGACTCCATCATGGCTTTTGAAATTCTAAAAAAGAGACTACAACCCCCATTATAATTTCATAAACCAAAGATGTATAAATGTTGACACAAATGCTTGACTTTTCCTCCTTCCTTTTCTTTTTTTTTTAAAGATTTATTTATTTATGTATACAAGAGCTGGGATGTAGGCCAGAGATGTGGAGGGTGAGAAGTTTTACCAGAGATGCAGTTGGGGGCAGAACAGGCAGACTGACTGAAATACCCTGCTGAGGGGAGCAGCGGCCCAGACAGGAGAGGTCTGCTGCACCATGTGGGTAGCCTCCCTGTCCAGGAATCAAACTTGTGCTGCAGTGGCTGCCCATAACTTCATAATGCTGCATCTTAACCCCTTGTGCCATCAGGGAGGCCCTCCTCCTCCCTCCACCTATCTAAGTTATATGACGTATCTGCCATGCCTACCTGCCCAGCTCCTCCCACCTTACTCTACCCCACACCCAACAAGGGTTGAGGTATCAGTGAGTTCTCAAATTGCATGCACATCAGAATCACCTGAAGGACTTGTAAACATACATATTCACATTTCTGTGTTTGTTTCTGACTTAGTAGAACCCTGGCTACTGTTTCTGGCTAGAGCCCTGGAAGTTTGCATTTGTAATAAGTTTCCAGGTTGTAGGGTAAATGATGATGCTCAGGCTTTTATGCTGCTGGCCTCTGTGGCTATGACCTGAGGCCTTGAATGCAAGAGGTGCTTGGGAGCATGGGCGCGGGGCACGCAGGCCTGACTGTGGACACCTGGAGTATGGTGTGGGCATGGTGTGGGCATGCGTAAGTGTGAATACCTGAGCCTGGAGACTGAGGCTATCAGGACGGTGTCACTCAGAGAGAAGGAGGAAGCTATGGCGGAACAGCTACCAGCGAGCAAGTGACTACAGTGAGGCAGGACTATGTGACAATGTGATGATGCCAGAGAGAGCCCAAAGAGAAAGAGTAAAGATTTGCCGGGGGTTGGGGAGCCTGCCAGCCTCCTGGACCGTGGTCACCCTGCCTTGCCAGCCTCAGGCTTGCCCCACAACTGGCGTAGAAAGCATTAAAGTCTGTGAAAAGCTACTGAGAACTCTAGGACTCGACCCATCTGCCTGGATCGATAGAAAACCTGCCCTGGGCTGCTGGCATGACACAGGTAAGGCGCCAACCTTGGAGAACTACTGCTCCAGGTAACAAGTTACCCTCAAATGAGGCAAAATGAACATCTAGTGATGGGAACCAGAACAAAGATTGCTTTTGACCCTGCTGGAGTGGGAAGGGCAGGGGACCTTTGGAAAAGAGATCCTGGAAACTTTCTGAGGTGATGGAAATGTTTCAGATCCTGATTGGGTGGTGATCACGCAGGAGGCTTCAGACATATGGTTTTTAATAAATTATAGCTTAAAAAAGCCTGAAATAAAGATGGGCAAAAAGATACACATATACGGATGTTCAATCAGGGTATTCTCTTTGATAATAGGAACTATTAAAATGTCTAACAACAGGAGAATGCTTAATTTATGGTACATTCATATGATGGATTATTATAATACGCATAAAAAATCATCCTCTGGCTCATATTCAGTGTCATGGGAAAATACATAGTGAGTGCAACCCTCAATTTGGTAAATTAAAAAAAATGCTTGTGAGGAAAAAGACCGATACTAAAGTAATGATCTCAGGGCAGACTGATGAGTGATTTAAATCTTCTTCAACTCTCTACTACAGTGTCCACATGTTTAAAATTGGAAAATATATTAAGGTGCAAAATGGAGCTAACTACACTTATCTCATAGGTTTGTTACTAGATTTAAGGAATCTGTGCCTTTAGTGTCTACTACAAGCCTGGAACTTACAGGGACATAAATAAAAATGAGTTTCAGTTCCCAAGTAAATAGCTGGAGACTTACATTCTTTTGAACTGTTCTTTTAGTAATGATAGTCATTGAGTGCCTAGTTCTCTTGAGTCGAGTCTAGACAAGCATGCAATGACTGGGCAGATATTGAATGCCATCTGTAGCCATGAAGAAGGGTAAAGCAAAATGGTGGGTAAGGAGAGCAGATCAGATATGGGCTCTTTCCTCCTACTGATATGGCAACAATGGTTAATGACAGACTTAGCTTAAGGTATGAAACCAGCAGAGTTTGGGAACACACAGGGTTCTGATGGATGCAAATTCTTGGAGTTGGTTTACGACCCATGAAAGCAGCAAATAATCAGTTTAACTTAAGATGGTGACAGAAAAGGATTTGCTGGAAGATTTCCCTGTCCCACCACAGGCAGGGGCTACATTTCTGGATCTGTCAGGTTCTTAAGATGTCAACAAGGGAATTCTGTCATGAGCAAGGTAAAGCACAGGTCCATTTGAAACCATTCTACCATTTACACACTCTCCCATTTTGTAAGTAGTTTCTGGGGAGAGGGGTAATATTTTCTTCTAAATTAAGCCTGGACTGATAATAGCTAGGATAATTCTATAATAGCTAGAATAATAGCTAGGATAATTCTTTTTTTTTTTTTAATAGAGGCATGTTTTATTTATTTATTTATTTGTTTGTTTGTTTATACATGCACTGGGTACAGTCAGAAGCTCGGGAGGGTGAGAGAATTCACCAGAGCGGGGAACAGAACAGGCAGAAAGACCGAAGTAC